TGTTGTGAGCCTCAGCATGGCGATGATCCCATCTCTGTTCGTGGAGTCTGCGCTGCGGAGCTGGTCGAGCGCAGGGTCGACGGCAGTCGTAATTTTTAATCTATAATAAATTATTAATTTATTAAATTTAATTATTTAAAGACGGGTACAGTGGTAAAAGATATATCGTAATATCGTAATGTCGAATACGATACTACGAATACGAAAAAATACGAATAATACGAATTAAATAACTATATACGATAATATAGGTTATAACGATATAATTATATACTGCATAACTATATACTATAATATAACTATATAACTATATATTATAACTATTATACTATATAACTATATAACTATATATTATAACTATTATACTATATAACTATATAACTATATATTATATAACTATTTCAATATAATACTATCTATTATACTATTATATAAACTATTACTAATATCTATATATACTAATATATAAATTCACTATATAACTTATTATACAATAAATACTATATGTCTTATATGTATAAGATACTGGAATAAATATACGAATACTAATAGTTCATTCAAGAGACATGATAATAGAAATCTGAATCTCTAGTATACATTAATAGAGTATATAAATCGTCTTATATGCTATCTCTTGATATCATTAATACGAAATATCGCCGTGATTTATCCTCAAAGTCAAGTAGAATTTGTTTGTGTGGTGTGCGCTGGCTGCGTAGGTGTGCTGCGAGATGAGAGAGTGTGGTGGCGGCTTCGGTTGTGTGCGCGGAACCGCGTGCGTCTTTGTGCGTTGCCGTGTCACGTAGGTGTGCCATTAGTATGTGGAAAGTTTTGTTGCTAAACCTGTACAGTAATTGGCCTATTTTCCGTTCCCTAACGTCGTGATAGAAAATAAACGTTAATAAGACGTCGAAAAACGTGGTAAACGTAAGAAAGAACCTCATAAACCTTAGAACGTCCGGAAAACGTAAACACCAACCAACCAAAGACAGCAACAATACGGCGAAAGCTAGATTAGCGAGATGCGGAGTATAAAGCTTATGCCATTTATAGCACATGAGCTTTGAAATCACAAGAACATCTGTCACAACACATATTTATGATATCTTGAGTGCTGCATCGTTTCGAGAATGACAAAAAATATATCATAAAAGCCAACAAATAGCTTATTTCAACACATCAATTACAGTTCTTCAGATTTGCACTCCATGGGCATGTCTTAAGTTAAAGTTAAAATAGTCAAAGGTAAATCAAAGTCACACATGCACATGAAATATGCCACGGCCGTACTAAGGGGTACAAGGTGACCATGCCCCCCCTGTGGATTGCAATACAAGATATCCAAAAAAACAATTTTCGCTTGCCTCTCATCGCGTCTTCACAGATCCACAATCCTGGTACTCCGCCCATCTGCTGAGACGAACATCTCTAAATGAGGCAGTCGAAGTCAACTTCGTCCACAAAATCTCCAGCCACGGATTCTCTGCTCTCACCCTCGGCTTACAGGAGTTATCTGAATGACATCAATGTGTCAATCGAAATCCTCAAAATGTTCTGTGGCGTAAGATCTGACGAGGGGGACGGACTTCTTGGATGAGTATGTATTTCTGGCAGCAGTCCACATATATATATCATGATCTAGATAAATGGATTATGTTGGTATATAATTTTCTCTTTTGTCTTCATGTTATTTGTGGTTGCCTATGGTGTTTGGTGAGTAATTAGGTTTTTTTTGCTGAACTCTTATGACAATGATAATGATAATGGTAATATGCTGTTTGCAAAACGAATCGACAAACGCTATGCATTCTCACCTCTTCGATAATTCGTCGATCAACACATATAGTAACTGTCTCATCGTAGTTGTGATTTGGCAAAAACAATTCTTTTCATGGTTAAATTTCCTTTTTTGTTATTAATAGACGGTTATTGCATGCTCCTATGAATTCTAAATTCATTATGTTTTAGTTCTTTTTCCAGAGTGATATAGCTAAATTAACAGTGTAATACTGCTTAACAATATATTGCAAATGTTACATACGCTTTATGATCTAAACTGGATGTTAAATTCTTTTAAATTATATCAATGTTGCATGATTCAGTTGCTGTTTCCTAATCTACTATCACTCCCGTGTAGGATCTATTGTCGATTCATTCAATTATGCCTCCCTTTTTTCAAAACAATAATTTTAAACTTAACTTAATGGTATTGAACTAAACATGCGTTATGACGGATAAATGCCGAACCATTGCATGGCGTGACTGCCCTAACAACACAATCAAACTAATTCCAAATATTCCGTCAGGCCTGAATGAGCGACATGGCGTGTAGTGATGGAGGGGGGCGGCACAAGGAGCCATTACCCCCTCTTGATCGGATGTGGGTGGAGTACAAAAATTAAGAGGTGTGGAGAAAGCGCCCTGAATGGGCATTTCTAACCACTATTAGCCTATACCACATAATGTATTAATAAATTATCTGCAGATAAAGCGCATGTGTGATGCCACATATTTTCAAAAATTACCCTACTGTGGGAGGGGGAAACACCCTCCCCGTTGAGAAATTGCTTCATCGTTGGTCTCTTGGTCGCCTTAACTCTTTTCTTCCCTTCCCTAGAAAAAAAACACTGGCTTTCGTACACCATTTTCCACTGCGTCTAGCTAAGGGTCCTACAACTGGGTCTGTGTGCTAACCTCAGAGCCCTTCGGCGCCACAGCCAGGGCCATCGTCCCACGTTCAGCGGGATCGCGAGTGGAAAAAATAAAAAGGAGCGCGAGGGGGGCTTATTTAAGCCGCCGATAGCATTATGCCACTTCTAATATAAGTTACCCCCTAATACTGAATTTTAGTGTGCAGAAGCAAAATGACCAATATAATATTCATGCACGAATTTCAAAAATCTCTCCCTACCCGTCGCGAGGGGCGGATACCCCTCCCACACCCTACCCCCTCGGTCGCGCTTTTCGCTCCGCTTCGCCTTGGCCCCCCGTTTTCCAATTCGCTGCGCGCCTAACGCCACTGACTATGTCTACAGAACTTGCTGCAGACAAAAACAGAGGTGAAATGCTTCTTAAATGTAAGCATGTTAACGTATCTCATGTGAAATTGAACATCAAGCACCAATAAAAGCCATCAAATCTATCATACTAAATAAAAAATAGATCAAAATCAAAATCCCAACACACAAAAGGTCAATAGGTCAACCAGCTTTTAAACTCGTTCAATCTACGCTACTTCAATGTGGTGACACTGCTCTGCCGAAAGTCCCTTGTTATACCAATGTACAGGGATAGGGCGCGGACACATCGGCGACCTGTCATCCAAAATGAAATGACTAGGGCCGACGTTAAGTATTTAATCTAAAGTGTGGCATGCCTAGAGAAAGTGCGCATCGAAAAATGCACCTTCGCTACTTCAATGTCGTGGCACTGCTCTGTTGAAGGTCCCTTGCTATAGCAATATACAGGGATAAGGCGCGCCCTATATATAGGACATAACTACAGCAGCGATATACATTGTACATTCGTGTATAAGAATGATTAGCAGACAATTGGTTGCATTTTATAAATTTATTATTTCAATAACTTGCGTTCAATAATGCGCGTGTTTCTCATCGGTATACTTGCTATATATTTCAGCTTCTGATATTTTTTAATTAAGCTTACCAAATGAAATTATATTGTGATATTTTAGATATATATATAATATATTTTCTTCGTATAAGATCATGTAATATATCATGATATCAGCGAGGTGGCTCATAAATCTATTTGTAAAACCTAATCGGAATTCAGTTAAAATTGCAATCGGTGTCACGTATACACACATGATGCTATACTATTATATCAGTTATAATTATCATTATCAGTCTCTATAATCTCTGCCCGCTCAAAGTAAAAATCCTTCCGACTCGACTTTGTTCAGTTCTGTCACTCTGGCGAGAGGATGTCCCCACTTTCTCTGAAGCGTGCGCTGCCGGTAGGGGGCGGCACCTCGCTTTACGTGCGACGCTTGTTGGCGGCGTGGCGCGCCTTGCTGCGCCCCGGTCGCACGCGCCGCCCGCCCGCCTTCGTCGCTCGCACGGCGCCCGACGACAGCACGTCGTCGCTGTGTTTGCGCACGGACGGCGCGACGACATCCGGCATCGTCGGCGGCGCTGCGGTCTCTTCGGCGACCGTCGCGTCGTCTGGCGGAACGTCGGCAATGGCGACGGCGCGGCTGAGCAGGGCGAAGGCGGAGACGACGGCCCTGGCATCGCGCGTGTCGCCAGCGCGACGTCGTCGGCCCCGTCGTCCGCGTAGTCCGCCACGTGCGTCGGCCGCGTTGAGCGACGTCGCGGGACCTGCACGCTGGCAGTCGTCGTCAGCAAAAGTGTTAGCGGCAGCGTCAGCGTCAGCGGTAGTGAGAGCGTCAGTGGTGGCGTTGGCGGCATCGGTGGCAGCGTTGGTGGCAGTATCCTTAGCATCAGCAGTAGCAGCGTCGCCGGCTGTGGCGGAAGCAGCGGCGGTGGCAGTGGCGGCGTCAGCAGCAGCGGCAGCATCAACGACAGGGGCGTTGACATCAACAGTGGCAGCGGCCGTGGCGATAACAGCGTCTTTGATAGCGGGAGCGGGGGCGGCAGCGTCTTTGATAGCGGGAGCGGGGGCGGCAGCGTCGCCGGTAGTAGCAGAAGCAGTGGCGGTGTCACCATCAGCGTCAGCATCAACTGCATCGGCGATGATAGCAGCGGCAGTGGCTGTAACAGTGGCAGTGGCGGTAGCAGCATTAGCGACAGCGGCAGTGGCAGCGACCGCGGTGGTGACAATATCAGCGGCAGCAGCAGCAGGAGTGGCGTCAGCGATAGCGTCGGTGTCAGTGGCGGTAGCAGCATCAGCCGCAGGGACGGTCGCAGTGCCGGTGACATCAACAACGGCAGTGGCGGTAACATTGTCGTTGGCAGAATCAGCGGCATCAGCGGCAGCAGCGGCAACATCAGCCGCAGCAGCGTCAACATCAGCTGCAGCAACGGCAACATCAGCCGCAGCAGCGT